CCCCCCCCCCCCCCCCCCGCCCCGCCCCCCCCCCCCCCCCCCCCCCCGGCCCAAAACCGGGAAACCCCCCCCCCCCCTTGCACACGTCTGTCTGTACCTCTATGTTCCAAACTGCTCATATCAACCTTCTTCTTAACGTGCTTCGGTGTCTGTGTCTTCCGAAATTGAATACGACGTGTACCGACTCGGTACAAACGGTTTTTTTTTCTTCAAAGATTGGCAGTTCTCATAATTTGAGGCTCAATTTTCGTTCTCGTTCTCATTCTAGTTCACATTATCACCCTTATCTGAAAGGAGCTTCTTTCTTGATGTCCAAATTGATGCTATTGAATCTATGCCTACTGGCGCATATTCATTAGCATTGTCATTTGTTCTGAGTCCATAGCGCGTTGTCATAAAATTTATTTAATTTCCAATCGAGAAATAATTGTGATTCCGAAAATAATTGCAACTCAATGCGGAGCTGCATGCAGTGATGACACATAAAGAACTCTCGCGTGAATACCATAAAAACCAGCCTTACCGACTTCGAACTGAATCGATTAACATTGAACTAGCGACGTCGAAAATAGACAAAACTACGATGGAATGGTGTACGAGTAAAAAGACAAAAATACAAACGCATACACGATTCGATAGTATTTGCATTGGTTGTTCACTGCGAAATGCAAGATAGAATTGTGTGTATGTGCGTGCGCGTTGATAAGAAAGCAATCGGTAAATAAGAGATAACGTTACAAGCTGCATACAATAGCGATTAAAGAAAAGGTCGAGTGGACATGTGTAGCGTCATCGAATTGATACTGTTTCGATAGATGGCTGCGATTAGGTGCAATCGAAAGTGTACTTGAAATGAATTATTTCTTGGAATGTGATTAACCACCGTTTTACTGGGTATTCGTGCGTCCAACAATTGGTCAAAAATGTACTTTTTTCTTCTTGGTTCAATTGTTTCCCCTGTACACTCTTTGTTTTCCACCTTTGCCGCTCGATTAAGTGCCAATTACTGTTCAACATTATTAATAAGGCAATAAATCTTTTGTGCGGAATGGATCTCTTTTTGACCACACCTAATATTGTGCGCCCCAACCACCGATTAAAGCGATCCATCAAACGCTCACATTGACTTAACCCAGCCGGCACTTGAGATTCTTTCAAAGACAAGAAAAAAAAATGTCAACAGTTTCATGGCTATTATTGTTGCTGTCTCTTTGGAAAACGATAAATTACATAAATACATCAATAGTCGATTCGAGTGTGTGTGTGTGTGTGTGCGCGCGGATGGAGTATAGGCAATAAAATAACCGATCAGTAGCTATATGGATAATAGTTGTGTGCAGTGTGAACGGCAAACGTTTGCGAATTTGTGGAAACAAGATCCAATTAATTGGCGATATTGTGTGTTTCCTTGTTGCTTTTTCGGTTGTTTTTTTCTTTCTTACTTTCTATTCTTGCCATAGCAACAATGGAAATTATTTTTTACAAACGCGGCGCCTGCTGATGAGAGCATCGAAGCTGTAAACAAAGTCACTTGCACCACCAATCCAACTCTCATTCATTATTCGATCGTTCAAATAGTGCAATCGGACGAAGCGGTCCTCCCCAAAAACGCAAAAAACCACATAGTTCAGTTTCGTAGGCTGTTTAGATTATTAGTGACCGTTTAGTGTCTGTGCTTTTTTTTCTACCGGAAGTGATTCGAATTTTTTTTTTTCGCGGGGCGACTTGTTTGTTTCCACCAATTTTTGATAAACCAGTAAGATTTATGGGAGTGTTTTTTTTTTATAGCGGGAAAGAGTAACCTCCAACCGATTCAACCATTGGTGTATTTATGTTTAAGGGATACGAGTTGAAAAAATGAATGACAAAATCATTTATTAATGCCATTTAGGGCACATCGATGCCAAAATTCTCAATGAGAACTTCTCGTTATCTCAAAAAAGCAGGCGTATTTTGGGATTTTGGAGGCGAATATCATTTAATTTATTCCAAATTGGAATATCCAATGTTCACAAGGAAGAAGAAGAAGAAGACTCATTGAACGAAAAAAAAGGGAAGATGATCAGGGAAAAGACGAAGAGTTAATAAATCATTGGCAAATAAAAATGCACTTTAAGTTCGTACAGTTCAAAATTTAAATAATGTTCCTTCGATAATTCACACAATTCGATCGTCTTTTTAAAAGTCTTCAAGAGTCTTCTTCTGATGGCTTGAACGATGGTCCAATCAATGAAATTGTCTTCAGAAAATCCATTTTCAACCAATATCAAGGTTTCTCAGACAAAAATCTCTGAATTTTGTCAAATTTTAAGTCTATTTTGAAGAAGTATCGAGCCACTTGAGAAATACCTTAAAATTTTGTTGAAAAATACAAAAATACAATCCCAAGATTTTCTTGGAATTTTCCACATATTCGGTCAAGAAAAAATAAAATTAACATTAAGTCGATTCGTGATCCAATCGTCAATATTCATGACAAAATCCCGATTACACTTGGCTCAGGCTAAAAAGACTGTTGTGATTTATTCCTTGTGTATAAGTTCATTGTCAATGTTGTTATTCCACCAAAAGAAATCTCGTCTCTTTTTTGGCTGTGATTTTTTTCGCGCAAAACTTGGGTGTATTATCAGTAATCATAAGTCACTTGCCACTGGCATCGCAAATCAAAGAGCACAAAATTGTAGTTCAATCTTAGTACGCACACAAACATCATTGATATTTCTTATCAAAATTATTTCGAAAGGGGCCGTTTGCAGCCGATTAATGGCCAACCGAGATAACTTCTCTCGTTATGTACAAGTGAATCATCTGACAAAACAAAAAATATTGCGAATCTATAAATATTGAGATGGAACTTTAACCCAGATGCTGAGGCTCTTATTAATGGCTGGCGCAGGCTAAAGTTTACTTCATTATCGCTGTGTGGCTTCGGTGGAATTTTTTTTTTTAAATAATTTTCTTTTGCTTTCATAAAATTGATAGTTATTTTCCCATACGCTGGAAATGATGATAATTTGAATGTTTGAAATTTAATATCAAAAATGATAGTAAGCTGAGTGGTTGAAAGTGTCTTGTTATACACAAAAAATGTTTGAAATTGGCTTGCTAGCGGGAATGAAATTCAAGTCTAGTTTTTTTCTAAATTTGATCATATCAAAACAACGCCAGCCTAAACAAATGGCTGTCAAAATTGTTTTCGTTGGACGAATGATTGATTGTGTTTAGTAACTGTTATCAAACACCGTCGATTGTTATCAGAACGAAGCCACTTGTAATTTCAAATTCCACAGGCGAACGAATCAATCGGACGCTACTGGAGCGCACCAGAACAATACTATCAGCATACTTGTTATCGTGCTTACGTTTTATGCTGAAAAAAAAACAAGAAAATTCACATTGTTTGAGATTTTTTTTATAGGTCTCTCAAGTTTTCTTTCAATTCCATTCTTGAGAACTGAATGTGGTAACGGATTCCATGGAAAATCAAAGTAAAACATTGACGTTTGTTTGCCAATCGATCAAAACGTGAAGAGTGTATGATTTAAAACCGTACCAATTAGTGTCGAAAACACTCATTGAGTGTCTCCAATTTACCGTTGACGATGATTGGGACGAATTGGTCGATTCACAATCAATTTTTTGTACGCACATCAATCGTTCGAATCAATTGAATTGCTGCATAGTATATTCAGTAGCAATCCAATGACAAGTGATTACGAGAAGCGATACATGCGCGTGTGTATGGAATATCGCTCTGTTTCTTCATCGGATTCAATTCACCGATAAAACTCGTTTTTATGGTTGAAATTTGGTTTTGGATGATTTTTTATTACTTTTTTTACGTTTTATCACACTTTTTCCAATCTTTTTTACTCTTTTTCGTTTCGTTTTCATTTAATTTTCTTTTCCTTGGGTTCAATGGGTTCTCTATTTTCTCTGCTCTTTGAAAGAGCTTCTTTTTGCTCATTTCCTCTCTCCTTCTCTTAACCTTTTTCTCCCTCGCGCTCTCTCTCTCCATCCCTACTCCAAAAGCGTAACGTGACTGAACTGCGTAAATAAATGTAATCTAGGAACTAAGACGTCAAGCCAAGAAGAATTTGTCGTAGTTTCCTTTTGATTTATGAATCACATCATAAATTGTGGTGAACGAGTTGTCAGCCGGTAAATCTTATGACACTCGTGATGATTACGGATTATTTATTGGGCTAAACACTGATAACTGAAATTCGTGCCGAGGTTCAAATGTAATAAATGCGCTTAGATGCAGCGGCGCTGTACAGTGTACCTGTTGTACACTCATCAAAAACGCTCCTAAGCAGACTACAATAGCTCTCTTAATGATGATAATGACATTTAAAAACAACGAAGAATAAACATTTTGCTACATATTCTTTCGCGGGAAGCGTCTCGGTAACACAATGTGATGATAATGTGGTTGGTGATGATGACACACCAATTCACTTGTGTAGCGGGTTTGTTATTATAATGAGATTAAAATGCGGTGTCAACATCCAACTTTGTTCTGATTTGCATAGTCAATGGTCAATAGCAATTAGCGAGTGTTGCACTGCAAGATTGTTGCATGCGCGCCATGAGATGCGGTTCATATGCCGCAAATTTGTAGTAATGATAAGTAGACCGGTCATGCAATCAAAAATGATCAATCGCTTCTTTTTGTACCGAAATGGTCTGGGAAATTTCTTTACAATTTCTTGATTTAAATCAAAAATGAACTGTGTCTGCTTTAGATCGACAATTTCGGCAAAGCAAAAGAGAAAATTCCAAATTTTCAATTTTTTTTCTCCATTTTTGGATTTTCCATTTTCCATTGATCGATTTACAACCAAATGGGATTCAAAGCGCTTGAATTAGGTTTGACCGTCATGTTCCACCAACAAATACGTTCACTGCTCTTCAAAACAGTAAATTGGCCAATTTAATTCGATGAAATTCTAGATTATTATTGCATTTATGCCTAGATTTGAGTATCCACCTTCAGTTATGCTAGTTGAAGTAATCGAGTTTTTCGATCTCTTTGGAATGTTAAAGTTGAAGTGGAAAAATGCCATGTGACTAGATTTGAAGTTAAAATAGTCCATTTTCGTACAGTCTAACATCTATTAGATTAGACATAGTCATCTGAGTTGTGATCTTTCAAAATGCGACTGCACGTCACACACTGATTTGATACAATTATTCCAAGTCCGCGATGACTTTGTATCTGCGAATCACTTATGCGTGATCACTCTTCGTCTTCAAATAGTCAAAAAGTGTGCAGACGCCGTTATGCTGGCCACAAATTAAGTGGCGAGATATTTCTGTGTGACATAATTGTAAATATATTGCAGCCGTGTATGATCCACGTGCAGGTGTCGCAGACGTATTTGGTCTGCAAATAAAAATGATGTATCCAAAAATACCGCGAAGCGATGACAGCCGAAAAAAGGGAACAGATATCAAACATGTACGGTTTGTTTGGCTTGTCTGCTTGCGCACAGATTCCATGGCCTTCTTGTTGTTATTGTTATTTTTGTGTATATCATGGTAGCCCCTTTTGTTTTGGTTGCTATGTTGTTATCAGGTGCGGCTGGAAGCATAAATCATCGCGAAACTTCCCAAAAATAAACGTGGCCTAGACATGGAACGAATATATCGGTTGAACAAATCTAACCGTTAGACGAAACAACGTTTTTTTCAACGACAATGTCCTCCTTCTTTTTCTTTTTCATTTCTAAAACAATCGACTTTTTTTGCTGCTGTTGTTGTTGTTATTACTGTGTTTTTTTTCCTCCAAAGAACAATGAAGTGAAAAGTAAACGGTAGACTAGAAGTACGTTACGCCTAATGCCGTCATTGTCGCCTGGTTATTGATGCTTTTTTTCTATCTAATGCTACAGCATCTTTACGTTTGTAGCAAAGCAAACACAACGTGCTCTTTGCATACACGAAAATTCGCCGTATAAAATGCCACACTTTTTTACCCAATCCATCAGTCAGTTAGCATTTGTAACGGGTATCGTTGGAATTTCCGGGTAAAAAATACACATCCAATCACAATCAATTCTTACGAAATATTTGCGATAAACATACAAAACTTCTTTATCAACTTTTGGAATAAAGGAAAAAAAAACGGCTTTTTTCGTCGGTTTTATCATTAGTTTCGTTACGATTTTTTCAAAGAGCACAAAGATTTGTTGAATGCCTTGTTTTGATTTTATAAAACTAAATTTTTTTGCCTTAGTTCTGTTTTTTCTCCGGTTGAAGCCGACTTGAAGACGATTTTGTTGCAATTTTTTCAAATTTAGTGAGACAAAATATCATAGACGTTGTGAGGAGTAAAATCCATTGTAGTAAACTGGTACCATTCATCTTGCTCGATGTTGTTCAGTTTCGTTCAATTCCATTCAATCAGTTAAGAATAATCTGAGACCTCGTGTGTGTGTGTATGCGTGTGTGTGCGAGGTCAATAGTTCATCGGTTAGTTGCCAACGTGCAAGTCATTTGTAGCCAAATCGTTCTATTAATTACCGATCGATGTTTACCTGCTCAGTCTACAGAGACAGACCAATAAATCCAATAGTTCAATAACTTTGTGTATTTGATTTATACAAAAACATACACATAGACATCTTCGCCAGTTGTTTTGATTTTTTTTACCACAAAAACAGAAATACCCACCCAAACTACGTGCGGATCTTCTGTTCAGAGTTAATTTTGATTTAGAATAAATAAATCAAAACTCGTTTTTTCGCCGTGATTGGGGTTTTTTCTATTCTCGGCGTTGGGTGATTAAAAGCGTAAAACCAAATTGATTTCTAGCTGTGATTTTTGTGAATAGTTTTTTTTGTCGGTTTCAGCTGTTCAGTACATTTTGATTTTGTGACTTACTACTTCTTTGGTCCAAATGAAGATATCTTCTAACTCAGCTGTGATAACTCATGATCAGCAAACCAAAAGATTTTGTGATAACTCATGGAAAACATTTCAATATTTAGCACAATCGGCCCATTTTGTTCACTAAGCTGATCAAAATAATGGAAATCTCTCACTTGTACCGAATCGATTAAGTATGTATCGGCTGTAAACAAAACGAGCCTCCGTGTGTCGGTGATCAGTTCTACATTCACACAATTTCTGGTTTTTTTTTGTCTATACACAAAAGTCAATACGGCCATTAATTTGCGACAGTGGTTATGACTAATTGATGTGGCTGCAAATTAATACAAATCGAAACTCAAAGAAAATATGGGAAAAAAAGCCAAAAACACCAGTTGATTTCGTATGGTTGATCAGAACAGACGACAAATCGATGTCCTACATTTCGTTCGAATTTGTCGTCTTTTTTCAACTTACAGAATATTTTCCCACGAAAAAAAAACTTACGATTAGATTATTAAATTTGCCAAGTCGTGTAAGTGTCGAATCGACACTGTCGATCGTTGGCTTTAAGTTCATCGCAAAAAAAAAACGGTTTCTATTGATAAGTTTACAATTTTTTTTAGTTTCGTGCGTTGATAAAAAGGTGTAATTGTTTCGTTCTTTTTTCAATTATTTAATCGATTGTGACACTCGAAAATCATTTTCGATTACGCGTATTTTGTCTCCTTGTCAGTCGATGCCCACGCACAATTGTTTGACGAAGTAATTTTTTTGTCTGTTATCTTAATTGAATTTGCACGCTTAAGGTCGTTGATGAAAAAAAAAAAGAAGGAGAAGTAACAACAAATATTGAAAGAAAGCCGTTGATTATCGTATAAATGAGTCGAGTTCGATAGATAATAGCCCTAATTGGCAATTGGCATTTAGTGTCAAATCAAAATTGTGCCGTGTTTACGGTTCTGATTCAATTTCATTCTCTCTTTTAATTACAGCCATTAATTCAGACGTCACGCTGATTGAAATTTTGTGTGGTGTAACGAAAAAGAAAAATCGAGTGCAAAACAATGGGTACCAAAACGATTGACAAAGTTGCTATGTTTTTGGGTGAATTGCTCGGTACAGCGCTGTTGTTATTCCTTGGGTGTATGGGTTGCATGAGCTGGAATGGTCAACCAGTCAGCTCATTTCAATCAGCATTCACATTCGGCATGGTGGTCATGCTTATCATTCAGGCATTTGGATGCGTTTCAGGCGCACATTTGAATCCGGTAAATTTCTTATATTTAGGAGGCTCTTACCTTCATTTTTAGGATTTTATCCAAAATTAATTATTATTTTAAAAATTAAGGTTGTTACAATTGCTGCCTACATTTACGACATGATCTCAGCTCAGGTAAGAGATTTTTTTTTGGCAAGAAGAAAGTAAAAGACAAACAAATTGAATCATGAATGAAAAGTTGACGTTTCCTCGACATTTGTTTCTTTCGCTCGTTTACCTCGTAATTGTGCCAAACGAAAATGAGCTTAGTGTTTAGTTTAGTTTCTCTGAGAAAAACGAGAAAAAAAAGAAAAAAGTGAAAAAAAGGTGAAAAATTTGAAGAAATTCGCGGGAAAACTCGATTTTTAGTAGCTTTTTTGATGAACTCCGATTCAAACTATACTTTGGACACTAGAAACCGATCTTTTTTCAAATAAAAAATGCCAAACACAGAATCTTTATGATTTAAAGAGTAACGAAAGTTGTCGAAAACTACAAAGTTTAACCAATGCCCGATCGAATATCCCATTTCAAACTCTCTATTTTTAGATGGCCTGTTTTTATTTTATCGCACAAATGTTGGGTGCATGGATGGGATATGGATTGTTGATGGTAATGACTCCAGCTGATATTTTTGCTCCACTTGGCGCTACTGGACCAGCGTTGTGTGTGACCGCACCACATGCAGATTTGACTCCATTCCAAGCTGTCGCAATGGAATACATTTCAACGACGGTACTCATTCTGATCTGTGGTGGTGTGTGGGATCCAAGAAATGCCCAACAACAAGACTCAATCCCATTGAAATTCGCCTTTGCTATCACAGCTATCGGAACCATTCTCGGTCCATACACCGGTGCCAGCATGGTGAATATTTTCTCTGATTTTATATTTTCATTTCTTAATTTTACCTGACAAATGGCTTCATTGGGGCCTCTTATTTCGCATTTCAGAACCCCGCAAGATCATTTGGACCAGCGCTATGGAATCAAGATTTTACCATGCATTGGGTGAGTCACGATCATTTGATTTCAAATTTTACACGTTCTCATACCATATGGTACATATGTGAAATGACATGTATGTCACTACGTTCTATATAACCTTGAATTTAAAAAAAAAATTCAATGGAAAATGCCTGATTTTAAATAACCATTTCATCGTTACCAATCGAATGGCCGAGAAAAATATACCAAAACCAATTTTCGCTTCTCTTCGACAGATCTATTGGGTGGGTCCATTGCCAGCCGGCGTCATCACTGCCATCATCTACAAAACCGTGTTCCGGCGAGAGGTTGAACAGAAACGGCCATCACAAGTGTCCGACATCGATCGCAAAGTAAATGCTTGTGACTGTGTACCTCTTAAAAGAATTCCAGTTTAAAATGCTTGACTGAACTCATTAGCCACTTTGTTTGATATGCTTCACATTCGTTTATTCCTTGCACTCATGTACATAAGCACGCATGCACACACGTTACACCCAGCAAATCACCAATTGATGAAATACATTTCTGTGCGGTTTGAAATTTAAGTTCGAAAAATTAGATAAAAGAAATTGTTTTCTCAGAAGAAGAAAAAAAAAAATCGACGATATGAATAGATGATTCAACTTTGAGTACGATGGCGGCGCCATCATAGCGCAATATTTCGAGAGCAAACACGAGCTGAATGAGTGTAATAGTTGAAAAAAAGGAAAACATTCGTGATTTTTATCATGGTTCCTGAATATTTATTAAAAGTTTACCGAGAATCACACAATTTCCGGGTCCAATTTCTGTTGAAAAGTGCACTAATCATCTTTTTGCGCATTGAGAAAACCAAGTCAAATTTATTGATTAACGAACAAATCGTTTTATCGTTGCTTTTCAATTTGTTTGCAGTGAGAATATCGCAGCAAATTCACAGTTATTTATATTTGCAATAGTCATTGGTGATATTTGATTGATTCGGACCGTTGTGGTTTTGGCAAAGATTTCCTTCGTTGCTCCACTTTATTCTTTCTGAACCGCGTTGTGAAAGACGCAAATTGTTTCTTTGGATCGTCTGTTTCTCCCGACCAATTGTTTTAGAGTTTGGAATTTCCAAACAATGAAAACAATCTATTAGAGCTAGTGTACATGAGACTTTGTAAAGATTCCAGCCAAAATTCCCGATCAAATCGCAATTTGAAACGAACTTTGCTACTTTTGGTCCAAGAATTTCAGAAGAAAAAAAAATTTATTTCGTAGGCCAGATTTACCCTTTCAATGTGCGAATCAAGAATTCGATTCAATTAAATAAAAACTTGTAATTTGATTCAATCTTTGTTTAAAATTTGGTTCAATCTTCGTCTGAAATTGTCGTTTTGGTGGATTATCCACATGAAAAACTCAGTTGCGTGTCGAGATGCATGTGTCATGTGCACGAAAGGAGGGAAAATGCACATTGCCGTCAAACCGATAGTTATGTTGTTTGACAGTGCTGTAGTCCAGCCCTTTTTTTATTTCCATCAAATTGCAACATTACATGCGCGCAAACTTCACACAACCAACACTCCTATTGGACAACATTGACGGCATATTCCCCTTCATATGCACATTTTGAACAATCGCAACGTGAACTTTGTGAACGTTTTTTCAAGTTACCGACGAAGGAAATTTAGATGTTTATTGCTCCTCAAAAACGTACTCCTCCATCAACCCATTATTTATCAAGTGTTCGAAACCCATTATTTTTCAGAAATCAAACATTTTGTTTGGAAAATTCTGTTTGGATTTAAATCAAACGCTTGGTAATAAATATGAAAATTACAAATTATGGAGCATGGGCTAAATTTCAACTACCAGACAAAATCCGAGAACCAAAAGTCACCAAACTAAAGAAATTCAATCAAAAATCATCAAAACCACCATTGCATTTGTAGTCTAAGCGAAAACTCGTTACATTTTAAAATAGTCCGTACTGTGCCGTTGGCAAGCAACTAGACAACCAATTACCATTTGAAAATTGTATGCTTAAAAAATTGTATTAATTTGTTGTTGTATTTTAACCATTTTCCAATGTTAAGTGTTATGCGAGATTAATTTAAGCAATAATTTAAATGTTTTATTGTAACCACACACATGTTTGAATAGCACACCTTTTTTGTCGATTGTTCTAACCAAATGTTGTTTTTATTTTTCTGTTCCGTTTTTTTTCTTTCAATTTTTTTTTGTTTACTCAAATTTATTAGTTTTGATCGTTGATTTAGATCTGCACAATATGGTCTTGTGCACAATGTTTTAACACCTTTGGTCAACAGCCCATGATGGAATGCGCATAATTAACACGTATTTTCTGCACGAATAAATTTGAATAACAGTTTTGCACCAAATAACCGAAACCATTGTCATTCCCTTGCACCATTGACTAATTATGCACGAGTTTGTATTGATTCCATTAAAAATTAGGTTACACACTAAAATGATTGAATTCCCAAAATATTTCGAAATTCACCGGGCAAAGTTTACTCAAACGCATATTCAATGGCACTTGCATTTGAAATTGTTTCATTCGCAGAAACCGCAAGTGATAATCACCATGCCGAATGACGTGCAAATCAATCACATGTAACCGTGGGTAGTGTTCTTTGACTTTGATACATCCAGTAGCCACTAGTTCACTTGGATTCTGCTGCTCGATTCGGAGGACATTTCGGCTGATACGATAGTGGCTTTCGATAGGTGTCTAAGCTGATTTAAGACTGGGGTAATCGGCAATTATTTGACTGGATGGCATTTGCATTTAACACAGGAGATATACATAAGTTAATGTTTGCTTTAAAGACAGGGAAAAACCAAATTTGACTCGAATTTAATTGAATAAAAATTGCACTGATTCGAATCCAAACAAATTAATTACGGACTTTCAGAGGTTTTTATCAAGTGAATTTCTTAACCTAACAACATTATCACAACTCAGACTCAGCAAGATCTTGAAATTTCACATTATTTTTATTACTTTGTATCGTTTAATATTCAAAACCCTTTTGTGATTTATGAGAGAATTTAATTTCATCTTAAAATATCTTATTTTAAGACCTAAACTTTACGTTTCTGTTCTAGTTTTTAATCTTGTCGCCAAAAAGAGCGTTTATTTAGAGAAAATGTGATTTAATTTAATAATCAATAAGCATTTTGTATCATTATCATATCTGTGCATGTATTTTCCGGCCAAAGAATTTACCCAAATTTATCGAATTGAAAAAGACCAAAGGAATGTGTTCAATTTTGAGCCGAATTTATCAAAAAAAATTCTTTTTCCATAAAATGATAGAAAAATATTTCTTTTCTGTATTTTTTTTCTTTTTTTGTCTATTTTTCAGTTACTTCAGGTTTTTATAGGTTTTGGACTGTTAGTCAAAGGTCACAATGAAGCAGCGGACTTGTCGCTATACACGTAGATGTAGTATTTCACTTGATTTAGCAATTCGTCATTATGTATGAGCTATGGCTACTACGATAAAGTATGAGGCAATATTTAACGTGAATTGCTAACGCACAGCGCCACAAATGAAATTATACTCCGGCTAACTAAATAATAAGATTCCACGTGAAATATCGGGCGGACTGCATATAGAAAGACGATTTAGACGGTGAATCTGATCAACTTTCGATTTCAACAATAACATTTTCCACTTCAAGAGACCATACTTCATTTTTTCCACTGCCAAATACAAGCAGTAATACTTATAAAGCATCACGATTTATGCAGAGATACTCAATACTCATAACGAACAAAATTACTGCCATTGAATGTTTTACACTCAAATCATTTATTTAATTTAAGCCTAGCGCAGTATTTTTCCAAAATGAAATAAAATCTGAATCTTGTAATCCATTTTTAAGAGAACTGTAAAGAATGGTTTTTATCAGTAGTGTTTTTGAAAGAAACGAATCTTAAATACAAACTAAGGTTTGATTGAAAACACATTTCATTTGGTACGCAAAAACGATTTGTTGTTAAACGAGAAGGTGAAATTAATAAATGCACTTCTCAGCTCTCATGAATAATGGTGTCAACAAACGATGACCTGGTTCGTTCATTTGTTCGACTATTTTTTTCTTTCGAACGAACGAACACCAACACATTAGTGTTCGGAAGCAAAGTTGGAACGTCTATGGCGTCAACTCGGCCAAAATTATGGGAAAACCAAATCTGACGGCTGAAATAAAACTGTTTAGAACGCATTTACAATAAATGCAAAATAAATCCTTAAATTATATTGAAAAATTTGTCAATCGTGCCAAATTTCGAACATTATAAAGAATGATGAAACGTCTCTGAGTTGAAGCAAAAAAGAGCACTTAAATCTTAATTTTTTTACAATTTTTCCTTGAAAGAAGTTGGAATGTTCAAGATTTGTGAAAATTGTTCAGAATTTTTCCGAATTTTCCAATTTTGCAGTTGCTTCTAAACACAAATGTGTTGGTGTTCGTTCATTCGAGAAAAATTTGTCAAACAAACGAACAAATTTGAGTGTTTTTTTTGTTCATTCGTGTTCGTTTGACACCTTTACTCAAGAAGCGAATGTAGAAAGGAATGAAGCGAAGCTCTGCTATCTTGTTCCAAGGCTTCGTGATAGCATACCTTAGCACGCAGCGTATTTAAGGCTCGGTATAATATACCAGCATATCGCATACACACTGCTGCCGCACACACTTCCTTCGTGCGCAAACGGTTGCGTACACAGCCATCGCAACCAGACTATTCGGACTATTACACTAATTAATAGGTCACCTTATTATGCGAATATTTATGAGATTGAAAGTAAAAATCAAACAAAAAGAAATTTTAGCGCTGAAATAAAGAATTTTTCATTATAATGTTGCCATTGGTGTTCATGACTAAAAAAAGTTTAACAGACAAAATAAAACTAAATAAGTCTCTATGAAATTAAATGTTCGTCTATGTGTGTTATCATCAAATTGATAAAATGTAAGTCTTTCCAATAGATTTTGAAAACAATTTGCTTGGGCCTTCTTTTATTTTGGAAATGTTGTTCACGTGATAAACAGTTTAATATTCGTATCCAAGTGCAAAGCTTGTACGTGTTCCGATCACAAGCTCTTATTTGCGTGTTAAACACAGAACATTCAAAATTCTTCCCTTGCATTCTTCCATTTCGAAGAATTTTTCGTGCGCGTTTCGACAGTATCCAAGTAAGTTTTGTTTGCGTTTTATTGAAAACATGAATACATTTGTAAGTGGCATCCGAAGCGATCGTCAATTTCCAAACTATAAAAGCAGTTGCCACGGCAGGAATGTTTCAACTGAAAGTAAATACATTATTCGAAATGAACACCAAAGCAATCGTTCTGTTCGTTTGTGCTGTGAGTATAAGTGTTTAACTCTGTGTTTGGGAAATTCACTTGTTTTCATACACTTTTCGATTTTGGTTAGGTATTTTTGCTACATAGTATTAGCGCAAAAATCGGTAAGTTTATTTAGATTTTTATTTGAATCAGATTTTTATAAAAAAAAAAAAACGAATGATTTTCTTTCTTAAGATCATGCACCGGCAGCCGTTGTTGTGTTTGTTCCAAATCCACCGCCAAACCATTCTTTATTGAAGAATGAAAATATGACAGTTATAGTAGATGAATTCGAAAAATGGTGTATAGTCGATAAAAATGATTTAAAACAAGACCAACAAGCTACTGCATTCAGCGAAAATGATGTTATTTTCAAACTGTTCACACTGAAGAATCCATCGCAGCCACAAGATTTAATCCTATACGATCGTAACATTCTGAATAAAACCAATTTCGACCCCAAATTGCCAACGCGAATTCTAATTCATGGATGGAATTCAAAAATTGATTTAATGGGAAAATTTGCTGATGCATATTTTACAAAAGCCAAATTGAATATCAATTTGATTGGTGTGGATTGGACGAAAGGATCGAACATAATTAGCTATCTTCAGGCTAGTTACAACATTAAAAAAGTCGGAGCGCAAGTGGCTCATCTCATCGACTTTCTCATCGAAATGGGAATGAACTCGGCGCTATTGGCGATGATAGGTAGGGTTTAAAAAAGCGTTATATTTGTCAGTGTTCCGAACATTTTTTTTTCTACAGAGCCGTTTAAAAACGCCCAAAAAACGTTATTCTCTTTTCTTCTCGTTATTTCTGCGGTATTTTGAAGTGTCAAGTTTTTTTTATCACCGTTTGCGGTATTTGTCGAAACGTTTGTAAACCCTAATTATTATGAGGAGAAATTTTAGGTCACAGCTTGGGTGCTCATGCGATGGGACTTGGTACGTATGAACAATATGCATTATAAACTGATTTTGGAATGAAACCGCTTATTTTCCACAGCTGGTAAATGGGTGACAAGAGCAAGAGTGCCCAAAATGACTGGCCTTGATCCAGCACTACCTCTGTTTAAATTTAATGAAGTCACAAAACGACTAGACAAAACGGACGCTGATTACGTTGAGGTAATAATCACGTGTGCTGGTAAGTTGGGATTCTATTTGCCCATCGGACATGCCAATTTCTATCCGAATGGAGGCAGATCACAGCCAGAATGTGGAATGGACTTGGTTGGAGTATGCGCTCATCGTCGAGCGTATGAATACTATCTTGAAAGTATCTACCATCCGGAATTCTATGCGTTTCATTGTGACAGTTACACAGATTTAGTTAAAGGAGAGTGCTCCGTCGTTAAACGACCGGTGATGATGGGTGGAGAAACGGGAAATACAGTAAGGTAAATGGGCAATGCTCTTTTTTTTGTTATTTCATGTAATTTCAATCATTTTTTCTATTTCAAATATTCGAACTAATTTATCAATATTTTAATTATTTCATACTAACTGAAGAGTTGAAGGTGTATTTTACCTCATCACCACTGGTAAATCACCTTTTGCTCGTGGAACTGATGCAGTGCGGACAGCTATAATGGACTCCATATATAAAAACGAATCCAAGAAAAGTAGAATTTAAAAGGTTTACAATATCTGTATTATTTATTTTACCTTTATATAAATAATAAATGCATTGTGCCGGATCATTTAGTCAACGATTTAGCGTATGGTAAACTTTCTGGTAAAAATGAATTGAATTAAAAAAAACTTGAACAAAGTTAATTTTTACACAAAAAAGCAGCTTCAGAAAAAAAAAATGTTTCAAGATCAACTGGAGGCTTTAATTCAATTCATTTTTACCTTCGTAAAATCAAGAAAAAGACTGAGACTTCCGCTCAATTTTCAAGTGGTAGTTTCTGTGGAGACGGTAGGCCAAAGGCCTTCTAGCGGTACTTCATTCATACAATGTTGAATAAGTCTCTTTCTTTGTACTGTTCGATTTGAAAATGTTGCCGTCTTGAAGAACACTTGATTTCCTCAACTCTGAAAAGATAAAGTGTAAAAATTGTCATTAGTTTCTCTTGGAGTTTGAATTCTTTTTGCATAAAATGTAAATTACGTGTTAAGGTTGAGTTCTACGAACCCGATTGGCCAAAGTGAAGTTGTGATAGTGTTGGTTTGCAGATGATATTGACATGGGATCGAATTCGAACCGTAGGTGGTCATAAGGGCATTCTCGTTCTTCAATTTCCTCGTAAATGTGATCTTCCGGGTTTGACTCTGACTCCGGTTGTGGCTGTGGCCCTGGCTCTGGCTGTAGCTCTTCACCATTACCATTTCGGTGGTAAGAAAATTCCATTTGGCCACTACTTTTCGAAGATGATTTCCGACGAAGGAAGACAACAACAGCTATAATATTGATGATGATGATGATGATCAGAGTAGACACACCAATCGGAAGAGCATATGAAACAACAGAAGAACTTGGCACAGATGTCTCAGGAGCAATAATTGTGGATTCGGTGTGAGCTTCGTTCCCATTTTTAGTCTGAACAGTGGTCATCAGTCCACTGGTGTCAATTTGGTTTTGAATTTCATTGCTTTCAAACTGACCGCACGGATCTCCGATTATCTCTAGTCTTTCCCATTCTTTTCTGAACATGAACAGGTAGCTACAATTCAACTTATTATTCGAGATATCCAATTTAATGAGTTTTGGATATGAACGCTTAGTGAGACCATCCAGTTGCGTGAGGTGGTTTTCGCGTATGTCAATTTCTTCGAGTTTTCCAAATGCAAACGAAGTTGAGAAATTCAATTTAGCTAAATTGTTATTGGAAATACTAAGGTACTTCAATCTCCATTTAATAGGTTTGAAAGGTTTAACATCAGAAAGCGATAAATTGGTGCGTCGTAGCGAAAGGTGAAAAATGTAGGGCTTTACTTCAAATGTAGTTTCGTTCAATTCTCCTACATAACTTCCAGAAAGATCCAGATCAAGTAGATCTGATGCCAAATGTTGCATGATCTCAGCTGTATTTTCGAAATCGTTATCGGCTGCGTAAAATACGCTTAACCCATTCAGAGTATCCGACATTAAATTCATATCCAATCGCTTCAATTGATTTCGTGAAATGTCTAAGCCTCTAACTTTAAGTGATTTTACATCGAAATGTTGCAAATGTGTGTCTGACAAAATTAAATGAAAGAAAAGGTAAAAGTGTTCAAATGTGCTGCGATTCAATGCTCCGATGAAATTCTGCGAAAGGTCCAAGTGCCACACATTTGGTGCACGACTGTCTATGATTTCGAGACCGTTATCAAAGAACCACAATAAATTGCTCAAAGTTTTTGAAAGTAAGCTTACATTCAGTGTTTCTAAATTGTTGTAGGATATATCGATATACTCCAGTTTGTTAAAATGCTCGAAGGGGTTCGATTCAGCCTCAAATGAGAGGTTTGTATCACTCAAATATAAACCTTTTCTTGAGAAAATTTTAAGACTTTTTAGGTCATTTTTTTGGACCGAAAATTAATTCTTTTTTTTATCCAAAGTTCTAATTTGAAATAAAGCAATTACGCCTAATCACAAAAATATAATAATGTCATGTTCATGTAATTCATGTTTGAGATAATTCAAAAAAAAAATTCATATTATTTTAATTCCCAATGTGAAATAATGTACAATCCACATCACATTATCGTACCCAAAACCCATTTTTAAGAGATATAATATAATAAATAAAACCATAATTTATATAATTAATATATATTAATAATTTATTATATATCCATCACGGAGGACGATAGTCCGACAAGTGACGCTCCAACAAATGCAGTGTTGAGAGATATACCGTATACTATACTGTGACGGTATATACCAGTATATACAACAAATAATATACCATGCCTTTAGAATCAATAAACACATAGTAAAAACAATCTCAAAAAACTAAAAACTGTCAAACTTGTTAAAATTTGACATTTCAAACATTTTTAATGACTTTGCATCATTTTTTTTTTAATTGGAAAAGGCTCTTCTTCATATTATGTATATAAGTATACTTCGGTATATACCGCTGGTATAGTATATTGATGTCTACTCATTTGCAGCACTGAACAAATGTGCATTTCAAGCCAAATATCAAAAATGCCAGTTTTTGCGTCACGAGTATATATACAGTAAATATGCTATTTTCTCAGGACACTATTTGGGCCCCGGCATGTTAGGTACCGTTGGAAAGGTCTTGGCCCAAATAGTCGGAAACACCATATCCCCCATGCCTAAAGTGTGGTCTAGGCAAAAATTTAGCCGATTTTTATGAAAAATCGACCCCCTTAAATTACACACCAAACGCGATTTCTCAAAAATCAGCCCGACAATCTTTTACCAAAAACTGAGCGTTTGTAGCCGGCCACCATACCAACAAAATGGCATATGCTACATATCCGGGAAAATTCGTATTTCGAACTTCTGGGCATAGGCAATTCATCAATGAACGGAATTTGTACAAAGAGTCGCATTCTACGATGAAATTGCTGCCAAAAATACGCATCTACTGGCTGAAAAAGGCTCACGAAAGACCATATCCGCTCAATTTTCAACGAGAAATCGATTAAAAGTGGTCACAATGCGATCTAAGGGCATTTCATGGTCGAAAAATAGGTCGGATTGAAGTGAATTTTTCAACTTGCTCTATTTTCACTGAAAATGACATTTTTGTTTGGAAAACACGTGAAATACACCTCTGACGTCGTTTTGGTATAGAAAACTGCTATTTTTTCGTGAAAATAATGGGAGTCCACGAACACTTGAATATCCATTTCGTTGTCATTTTGGTCATAAATCGGCATTTTGGCATCTGAATGTATGAAATTGAACTTTTGCTCGGGGGATACATAAAAAATGCACTTTCCAGAGCTTTGGTGGTTGGGAACTAATATTTTTTAATGAAATAATGAGAATCCACAATCGTTTCAATACTCTTTTTATGGTTATTTTGAAATTTAATCATATTTTACCGCATTTTATAATGTGCAATTAGAGGAAATTGGAACTTTTTCAATGGTAGTGGAAATTAGATAGTGCAATCTCCAGAACTTGTGAAATTAGAATGCCAATGTGTTACCCAGAAAATTGCAATTTCCTGATAATAAGACCTTAAATTAGACATACTTCTGGTAAAAATGTTTTTTTCCAAAAAAAAGCCTTACAAAAGTAGTGATATCAGATGAAAAACCTCTAGACGAGGTTGAAATGGAGTAACGCTCCGTGCGTGGATTCACCACTCAAAATGACTGATATCATTTGAGTGACGCTAGGACGCTGTATTACTGGGAACGAAGTTCAAAAGTGTTTTTCGCATTCACTATTGTGAAAATTTATTTACAATAAGGAAAAATATCGCGTCACGACTTTTGAATTTAGTCTTCAAGTCAAGCTTTAAAGCGTTTTACCGTCCAAAAGTTGTCTAGAGGTTGTTCATCTGATTTAATTTTATCAATGTACGGCAATTTAGTGAAAGATTTGTCCAATGAACTTTTTGATTTTACTCCTTTAACAATCATTATTAAATTGAATAATGCAATTACCCCGTGTGAAAAATTTGTGACTGACTAGCCAGCGGCCTAATTTCGGACTTTTTGGCTGACTATCACTGATTAAAAGTGAATATCTCGAACAAAATATTCGACTGTAGTCAACTTCAGTTATAGTCATCTAGTAGCCAAAAAGTCCGAAATTGGACGACTGGCTGAAAGAATAACTATGCTAAGGGAATTTCTCACGTAAAAACTGTGAAGATGTTTGAAACTGTGAAGATGTGGAAGTTATCGAAACTATGTGGATTTGTATAGATTTTATAAATTTTTTGAGATTTCAAGATGGCAGATTTTGTGAAATCCAACATGGCGTCGGGTGATCTCGCCTGAACTGTCTTGTTTTTAACACTAAATATGCATGGATTTTCTAAATTTGGGCAAAACTACGTAGATTTCAGAAACTGTGGAAGATTTTGAAAGATTTCAAAACTATTTCCGATGAGAAATTCCCCTAGTAACTATGTAAAAGTGATTTTTTCTATACAACATTTTTGAATTCAATCAACTTAGCCAGTTTAAGTTATTTGCAGCTACATAAAACTGAGTGACTGTCAGTCACTTCATTTGCACACGGGACTCCACAAGAAAAGTAATCTTCTTGAAAAACAAAAGAATCTTTGAAACGTATATAATTTTTGAGATCGTTTAACCCTCAACTGCATGAATTTTTCCTAGGACTGGGAGTACTGGTATTTGGTTGATTTTTGGCCATAGATAACGAAAAAAATATTCATAATCCTAGATTTCCCATGGTTTAGTCAGGAAATGCGATAGAAATAAGTCAGAGAACAATGAAATCCATTGTTTAAAAGTGTCAAAAATATGTCTAATTTGGAAACCGAATAATTTATTTTGTCAAATTTTCGTTTTCGTGCACATTTTTGTTTATAACTCACCAATCGTACGACATAGACAAATGACGCCAAAGACAAAAATAAAGAAAAAACATTGACAAATAAAAATTCCCCTTGAAGCAATGTCATCTGCCGTACGATTCACATTATACAGGTGTTTAAATGATGCCCGCCAAAAGGCGGGCTTATGCAGTTGAGGGTTAAGAATGGATATAGTCTTATAATTACCTCCAGTTGTTCATTTGACACTATTTTTTATTGAAACTATCATATATATATATATATCATAAAATCAACAGGGTTATAGTATAAACATATCCAATGAACTGAGCTTCTATCTTTTTCTTGACCTCTTCAATTTTATAATCTTCAGAAAAAATACAGTCCGGGTCGAACATTATTGATTTTGATTAAAATAATTTTCATAAAATACAGAATGTATACTTCGATTGAAACTAAATTCCATGTAGTGCTTGAATGAATAATTTGATGGAAAAATCAAATTAACGTAAAAAAACCATTTTAAATAACGCAAAAAGAACGCAGAGAGGAGCGAAGTGACGATCTGCGGTCTTGTTTTTTCTTATTTTTACTCAATATCGAGCTGTACCACTATTGCTCACAATTTCATTTATCTCTTTTTATTACAAATTGTTCTCTGTCCCGCAAGTTCAACTCTTACTTTCATGGTGTCAGAAATATGTTATGATTGAAGCGTTTTTGTTAACCACATTTGAGATTTGAAAATATAAGGAAGTAGCAAAATCAAACAATATTGCAGCTTAAGATATAGTCTTGAGAAAACGAACGAAAACTAGGCAATAAAAATGGATGAAAATGAAAACAAAAACACAAAATGCTCTCTGAAATTTAAGACTATTTATAGTTTATTGAAAGGAAATCAAACGCCATTGCTAAGCTGTTTCGGTTTAATTTTTGAATCAAGTTCAGACAATCACGGCGGGTTTATTGGACTAAAGTGCCAAAATGAGCAAATAATGCCGATGAGCTTCGGTTGGTTTGTGTGACTACTGCTTTTTCTGCCACTGGCGAATGCAGAAACAGGAAGTTAATATATCAAAATGAAGTTGTGTTTATTTGGTAATTGAGACAAAATTCAAATCGCCCATCAAATAAGCTTGAAGGAGCTCCGATTTCCTCAACTCTAAAAAGATAAAGTGTAAAAATTGTGATTGTCTTCTGTTTGAGATTTGAGTTGTTTGCACATAAAATGTAAATTACGTTTTAAGGTTGAGTTCCGCGATCGCGATTGGCCAACTTGTCATAGTTTGGGTTCGCACCTGATATTGGCATGTGATTGAGGTGATCATAAGGGCATTCTCGTTCTTCGATTTCTTCGTAAATGTGATCTTCCGGTTTCGAATTTACTTCTGGCTCTGGTTGTGGCACTGGTTGTGGCTTTTCGCCATGGCCATTTCGGCGGTAAGAAACTTGCATTTGTTCTCTGTTTTTCGAATATGATTTCCAACGGAGAATGATAACAACGGCTATAATATTGATGATGATGATGATTGGACACAAACAGTCAAACACAGAATCTTTATGATTTGAAGAGTAACGAAAGTTGTCGAAAACCACAAAGTTTAACCAATGCCCGATCTAATAACCCATTTTAAACTCTCTATTTTTAGATGGTCTGTTTTTACTTTGTCGCACAAATGTTGGGTGCATGGATGGGATATGGATTGTTGATGGTAATGACTCCAGCTGATATTTTTGCTCCACTCGGCGCTACTGGACCAGCGTTGTGTGTGACCGCATCACATGCAGATTTGACACCATTCCAAGCTGTTGCAATGGAATACATTTCAACAACGGTACTCATTCTGATCTGTGGTGGTGTGTGGGACCCAAGAAATGCCCAACAACAAGACTCAATCCCACTGAAATTCGCCTTTGCTATCACAGCTATCGGAACCATTCTCGGTCCATACACCGGTGCCAGCATGGTGAATATTTTCTCTGATTTTTACATTTTCATTTCTTAATTTTACCTGACAAATGGCTTCATTGGGGCCTCTCATTTCGCATTTCAGAACCCCGCAAGATCATTTGGACCAGCGCTATGGAATCAAGATTTTACCATGCATTGGGTGAGTCACGATCATTTGATTTCAAATTTTACACGTTCTCATACCATATGGGACATATGTGAAATGACATGTGAGATTGTGAGAATGAAAATAGCAATACAGGAATAAACATTCTGAAACGCATCAAGAAAAAAAAATCGCAAAAATGGATCATGAGTTCTGAATATGCAAAAGTGAAACATGAATTTACATGGGCAGCATAGGAGGTTCATGGTCCACTTTTGCATATTCAGAACTCATGATCCATTTTTGCGAATTTTTTTTTCTTGATGCGCTTCAGAATGTTTATTCCTGTATTGCCATTTTCATTCTCACAGCCTCATGTAGTCACTACGTTGTATATAACCTTGAATTTAAAAAAAATTCAATGGAAAATGCCTGATTTAAAATTAACCATTTCATCGTTACCATTTGAATGAAGTATACTAAAACCAATTTTCGCTTCTCTTCGACAGATCTATTGGGTGGGTCCATTGCCAGCCGGCGTCATCACTGCCATCATCTACAAAACCGTGTTCCGGCGAGAGGTTGAACAGAAACGGCCATCACAAGTGTCCGACATCGATCGCAAAGTAAATGCTTGTGACTGTGTACCTCTTAAAAGAATTCCAGTTTAAAGTGCTTGACTGAACTCATTAGCCACTTTGTTTGATATGCTTCACATTCGTTTATTCCTTGCACTCATGTACATAAGCACGCATGCACACACGCTACACCCAGCAAATCACTAATTGATGAAATACATTTCTGTGCGGTTTGAAATTTAAGTTCGAAAAATTAGATAAAAGAAATTGTTTTCTCATAAGAAGAAAAAAAAATCGACGATATGAACAGATGATTCAACATTGAGTATGATGGCGGCGCCATCATAGCGGAACATTTCGAGAGCAAACACGAGCTGAATGAGTGTAATAGTTGAAAAAAAAAGGAAAATATTCGTGATTTTTATCATGGTTCCTGAATATTTATCAAAAGTTTACCGAGAATCACACAATTTCCGGGCAGTGTGTACCAATTTAGCCAATTTCTGTTGAAAAGTGCACAGATCATCTTTTTGTGCATTGAGAAAACCAAGTCAAATTTATTGATTAACGAAGAAATCGTTTTATCGTTGCTTTTCAATTCGTTTGCAGCGAGAATTATCGCAGCAAATTCACAGTTATTTATACTTGCAATAGTCATTGGTGATATTTGATTGATTCGGACCGTTGTGGTTTTGGCAAAGATTTCCTTCGTTGCTCCACTTTATTCTTTCTGAACCGCGTTGTGAAAGACGCAAATTGTTTCTTTGGATCGTCTGTTTCTCCCGACCAATTGTTTTAGAGTTTGGAATTTCCAAACAATGAAAACAATCTATTAGAGCTAGTGTACATGAGACTTTGTAAAGATTCCAGCCAAAATTCCCGATCAAATCGCAATTTGAAACGAACTTTGCTACTTTTGGTCCAAGAATTTCAGAAGAAAAAAAAATTTATTTCGTAGGCCAGATTTACCCTTTCAATGTGCGAATCAAGAATTCGATTCAATTAAATAAAAACTTGTAATTTGATTCAATCTTTGTTTAAAATTTGGTTCAATCTTTGTCTAAAATTGCCGTTTTGGTGGATTATCCACATGAAAAACTCAGTTGCGTGTCGAGATGCATGTGTCATGTGCACGAAAGGAGGGAAAATGCACATTGCCGTCAAACCGATAGTTATGTTGTTTGACAGTGCTGTAGTCCAGCCCTTTTTTTATTTCCATCAAATTGCAACATTACATGCGCGCAAACTTCACACAACCAACACTCCTATTGGACAACATTGACGGCATATTCCCCTTCATATGCACATTTTGAACAATCGCAACGTGAACTTTGTGAACGTTTTTTCAAGTTACCGACGAAGGAAATTTAGATGTTTATTGCTCCTCAAAAACGTACTCCTCCATCAACCCATTATTTACCAAGTGTTCGAAACCCATTTTTTTTCCAGAAATCCAACATTTTGTTTGGAAAATTCTGTTTGGATTTAAATCAAACTCTTTGTAATAAATATAAAAATTACATATTATGTATGGATGTATGCATCATTCAAACCATGGGCTAAATTTCAACTACCAGACAAAATCCGAGAACTAAAAGTCACCAAACTAAAGAAATTCAATCAAAAATCACCAAAACCACCATTGCATTTGTAGTCTAAGCGAAAACTCGTTACATTTTAAAATAGTCCGTACTGTGCCGTTGGCAAGCAACTAGACAACCAATTACCATTTGAAAATTGTATGCTTAAAAAATTGTATTAATTTGTTGTTGTATTTTAACCATTTTCCAATGTTAAGTGTTATGCGAGATTAAATTAAGCAATAATTTAAATGTTTTATTGTAACCACACACATGTTTGAATAGCACACTTTTGTTGTCGATTGTTTTAATCAAATGTTGTTTCTTTGTTCCGTTTTTTTCTTTCTATTTTTTTTTTGTTTACTCAAATTGATTTGTTTTGATCGTTGATTTAGATCTGCACAATATGGTCTTGTGCACGATGTTTTAACACCTTTGGGCAACAACCCATGATGGAATGCGCATAATTAACACGTATTTTCTGCACGAAGAAATTTGAATAACAGTTTTGCACCAAATAACCGAAACCATTGTCATTCCCTTGCGACATTGACTAATTATGCACGAGTTTGTGTTGATTCCATGGAAAATTAGGTTACACACTAAAATGATTGAATTCCCAAAATATTTCGAAATTCACCGGGCAAAGTTTACTCAAACGCATATTCAATGGCACTTGCATTTGAAATTGTTTCATTCGCAGAAACCGCAAGTGATAATCACCATGCCGAATGACGTGCAAATCAATCACATGTAACCGTGGGTAGTGTTCTTTGACTTTGATACATCCAGTAGCCACTAGTTCACTTGGATTCTGCTACTCGATTCGGAGGACATTTCGGCTGATACGATAGTGGCTTTCGATAGGTGCCTAAGCTGATTTAAGACTGGGGTAATCGGCAATTATATGACTGGATGGCATTTGCATTTAACACAGGAGATATACATAAGTTAATGTTTTCTTTAAAGACAGGGAAAAAACAAATTTGACTCGAATTAAAATTGCGCTGATTCGAATCCAATCATATCAATTCCGTAATTACAAACAACACACAATATCATTAGACTATTCCAATAGCACAAACTAGCAATATTCTCTACCTGAATGGAGTAAGGCAGAGACTGAAATAAGAAATTTTCAGAAGATCTGAAAACGCCATAAATTGTGTTCAGAAGATCCGAAATTCCGATTGCAATTTAAAAAACAAAACGGAACTCTGAATTATAGATTCGTTTTTTTTTTTGTATTTGGAAGATTAAATTTGTTGTACGGAAAAAAAAAAGAAATGTTTGATATTTCCCATTGATTTTTATCATTCATCCACAATTTTATTGCCGATCTTGGGAATTATTTTTTCAATATGAATGCCTACTCAGCACATTAGTGCATGCTAGTGCCATGATTTCTTCACAATCGGTGTTTTAGGATATTCAATCATCCAACTTCGATTTCCGACGAACTTCAGAATGCAGGTGTTTACAAAAAATTCGAAAAAGTGAACAGTTTTTGCGATAACGAATTTAATATTTGCCATATCTTGATCAACAATTTTAGTGTTTGCACGTGGCGACTGAAGCGAGGCGAATATTTCGATATGATGTGTAATGAAATTCAATTTTACCTAATTTATTGTAATATTTTCTATCAAAGAGTATTTTGTATGCGTTCTTTGGGCATACATTTTGTTTCATTTGAAATTTCTGAGGATCCGTAATTTAAAACTAGAGCAGCATTTTTCCGTTCAGAAGATCCGAAAACCGGCAGAAGATCCGGTTATTTCAGTCTCTGGAGTAAGGTATGGCAAATGTGGTTAAAGTTTCCACCATTTTTCTCTGGTATTAATATACGAAAATATCCCGTTTCAGACGACACAAATTGCCGTTGAATTACTCTCTGTAAAACAGGTGACAACAACTAATTCTATTTCATATTCTGAATACCAAAAGCGGTAAGTGTCATACAGTTAGGGTGAAGTGTCTGTTGAAGATGTGTGAATGAGGGCAATCCGATATGAATGGATTTTGATTGAAACGAATGCTGTGGATCAAAAGAATGAAAAATTGAATCGAGTCGTTCTCGAGCTATGGCTTGCGTTGTGCATATGCAAAGATGGAGTTAAAATGGCTCCAATTACTCATTTGGAATGATTATCAATGAAACATTTCCAAGCCGGTATCCATTTAACTTGAGGCATTACTATCTAACCGACTCTCTTGACGTCGCTAATGAAATTCAAATTAGAAAAAAAATGTCGAAATTCAAATTTGAAGCTTGATGAAGTTTTGGAGGCAATAAATGGAGTCGATAGTGATTGGTAAAACTGCATTCAGTAGCTCATGCATGCTCATCTACTGCACAAAGGATAAAATTGCTCCAATCGATAGTCGGCTGTGTAAAGAAAAGATGTTTCTCTCGTAAAAAAAACATCATGTAAATCGCATCGAAATCGTGTTTGCCACTAAATGCAATTGCGTTCTTTTAATATTGGCTCTTGCTCGCTCTCTTCCCCTCCATTCTAACTCTCCCAAATGAGAATAATCAATACAGTCATCCGATGTTTGTTTATCCATTGAAAGTGTTGACACGTTTGGTTGTTTTTTTTTTGAATTCCAACGAGCAGAGACAAATCGAATGTTGACATGCAAGTTCAGCAGTCAATTCGTGATGTATTTCATTTTAAGCACAGCAA